CAGAGAGATGTTGGATATGCAGAGAGATGTTGGATATGCAGAGAGATGACACATTCACACACATGCTGAAGTCCATGGTGAAGGTGGGGAAGAAGTCTGCAAATATGTTCCTGATGAATCCCATTTTAAAACAACTAACATTTCCTTACGCCGTTCCAAAAAAACAGTAGAAAACTGGTAACAAACAAAGTTTACTTGTAACAAGTAAAAAGATCCAAATGTTTAGCGTTTTGTAAAATTCATGAAGGTGTTTGTTTTGCAGAGGCATCCTGACAACATTTATTTTTCGGCAGTTTCTGTATCTGTAGGGACATTCTGACCAAATTTTTGTTCACGAATACAGCACGTTCTGCACACATACACAAACACAACCCCAGACGCACACATACATACACACGTTTGCTTGTGTATCACACCGCTCCGACATTGGCTCCACTCACATTCAGGTGCTCAGTGGTGATGTCCATAAGCTTGCTGCAGGAGGGGTGCAGTCTCTCGTACACAATGGTGTCTGCACCCTTACAGTACAGTGAGAGCTTCCCCTCTGGACTGCGTACTATGGGATAGGGCAGATGGGGGGCATAAGCTGGTGAAGGCTTTTCACAGATAAATTCATGAGAAATTTCATTCAAGGGGTGTCTCTTCACTGTAGATGTGTTAATGTGTTCCTCTGATGCAAGTAGTTCATAAATGGAAATAAATTTTACAAAGCATAAACATAAGCGTTCCAGTGTAGTGAAAACTTACCAATGACAGACATCCTCTTGCGGACGTTGTTGAAGTCCAGGATCGCCTCTAGTTCATAGCTCTTCTGAACGCCCATCTCCACAATATTGACTGTTTCTGGGGTGCGGGATCGGAACACAAAACCAAAATTTCGGGCAGCGGTGACCAGGGCGCCCTCATCTGGCGACTGGGCTTGGTACAGGAGGTCACCTGAGCAGAGGGAACCAGACCTGCTTAGTGAGTAGTTCAACGTAACATCACAGTCAACTAGACACTGCTCAGAATTAACTTTCAGGTTAGTTTTACATTTTCATTTCAAAAACGAAAAATCTACAGTATTACTATAATAATGCATATTAGCTGGTCGGGGCATGTCTGCCTGGTGATAAAGCTGAAACCCTTGATGTATAAGAACAAAGAACATAAGAAATTTACAAACGAGAGGAGGCCATTCGGTCCATCAAGCTGATTTGGGGGAGAACTCAACTAATAGCTCAGAGCTGGTAAAATCTTATCTAGCTCTGATTTAAATGAACCCAAGGTTTTAGCTTGCACTACACTAGCAGGAAGACTATTCCACACTCTTTTAAATGTTCTCCAGCTTATTTCCACCTATGATCACGAGTTCTTGAGCTTGAACAATTATTGAACTAACTATTTAGTTGAACAGAATCCAGACCTGTTATAATCTTATATACCTGGATCATGCCCCCCCTTAGTCTCTTCTCCTCATAAGACATTCCTCAAAGACCAGGAATCATTCTCGTAGCCCTACGTTGCACCTTTTCCAAGGCAGCAATCTCCTTTTTAAGGTATGGTGACCAAACCTGCACACAATATTCTAGGTGGGGTCTTACCGAGGAATTGTATAATCTTAGGATCACCTCCCTAGATTTAAACTCCACACACCTAGAGATGTAACCCAACATCCTATTGGCCTTTTTAATTGCTTCCCCACACTGGCAAGAGTGGGACATGGAAGTATCAACATACATACCAAGGTCTTTCACATAATCAGCTACCTTTATTTCAGTAGGTCCCATAAAATACCTGTACTTTATATTTCTGCTCCCTGCATGGATTACCTTACATTTGCCTACATTAAATGTCATCTGCCAGGAATAGCATGAGGAGTGTCAAACTGGCATATTAACAGGCTGCCAACACTGAAACTCATCCAGGCGGAAGCACCTGACAGGCAACCCAGAGAAACTAGAAAAAAAGTGGGTGTGATTCAAACATAGATCATCAATGCGACTGAGTAGACAAGGAATCCAACCAACAGCACGACCCCTCGGTCCTTCCAAGCAAATAGGGTTTCACAGAAATGGTCTGATGAGACAGTTTTTTCCATACCCCTGACTAATGCATTTAGGCCAAATAATCCTTTGGGAATGTACAGCAATTTCTGCTTGAATTTGCCATCTTTCAGTCAAATATCAGTTCTTTCTGAAAACAAGCAGCTATTAATATTTCACTTGCGACTTGCATGTCAGTACAACTATACCAATGGATATGAAATTATACAACCTAGTTCCCTAGCACAGTAATTCCAGTTTAAAGAAGCCTTTGGTTACAAGCTTAGTTACTTGGCTGATTTTGCCCCCACTGCCCAAAGCTCACCGGCCTTCTTCTCCTCTGCCATGACAGTGTGACATAGTCCCAGCAGACGGAAGAACTGGTGCACCTCTGGGTCCTCCAGCTTCACAGCCTCCACCAGACTGTGGTCATGGAAGTAGAATTTGGGGTCAGCCAGTGGATTGTAGGAGAAGTCCACTTTCTCGGTCTTCTGTAAGGCCACAAGAGACACAACCATTATCATTGACAGTATTCATAAATGCCTGAACAAGAATTCAAAACCCATATTGCTATTCACGTCGGATTATTTCTTGAAAACTTTGAGGAAAGGTTTAATGCACCCTATGCTTTGGCAGGCCGAAACCATTATATCCTCTCAATGTTACTGTAGGTCACATATCTGGATACTGTCTGTAATTTTCACCATGAAACCTAATTTAATAGACATTAACAATGTCTTTAAAAATCATTAACACTGATGAATGTCAATACTTTTGATATTTCAATAACAACATTTAGCATCATTATATTATGCGTACCATAGTACTAGTAGCAAGTAAGTGTGTATTATTGTTGAGAGTAACAACATATGCCTGAAGCTAACACGCATTTCAGACCATTAGTTAGCTCACCTCTGTTATCTCCACTCTCTGTCCGGCAAAGTCCAACACATCACCTGGAAAAGAACATGACAGAGTAACTCATATTGCTGGTTACAAGTTTAAAGAGTGTGGCATTGTATGGGGCTGATGACGGTAACATCATCGGCTGGAATTTAGAAACATTGAAAGGGGAATTTAGAACCTCAGTCAAATAAAAAGCTGAATGCCTAAGCTTCTACTGAAGCCCATTTTTATCTTGATGACGTACTTTGCAAATTCCAGATGGTCACGGATCAAATCAGCTCAATCCCAGAAGTAACTTTTGGAAAAGAGTCTCCGATAATCACCATAACAACAATGCAATTAAGCAGATATGTGTTCTGAACACTTATCTAAATTGTTCATAGGAACCTTCATAGGGTTCTCTCTCTAAGGATAATTTGATTACACAGGACTTGAGAGAATTTTATGACAAAGCTTAGTCTGTTGTCTGTTGCTAAAAGCAATTCAGGACACTGGTCTTTGATCAACATTTAACTGGAAGAATCGTAAGAATAAGAATTTAAAACAGGCTGAAACCGGTTTCATGGACACTGAGCAGACACTCTAGTTGCAGCAACGGTGCCAGATCATACCATAGGACTTTCCATTGATAGAGCACTTGTTGAAGGTCATGATGTTCTGGGTGAGTGTGCCAGTCTTATCAGAAAAGATATACTTGATCTGGCCGAGCTCCTCGTTAAGAGTGGTAGTGCGGGCCTCAGCGGGCGTGTCACTGCGAGGGTAATACATCTTCCTGTCCCAGTCAATGTAGAAGCTGTTACCCAATCGGATGATCTCCACACTGCCACAAATAGACAGGAGGACAAACAACCATAGTAACACTTACACAGAGTTACAGGCAGGCAAGTATACAAACAGATATAAACAGAACTTAAGGCAAAATTACAGATCTGTTCCAATTACTTTTAAGCTAAGCAGGCCTGGATTTAGATTGCTCAGATGGGGGGGGGGAGGGGGGGAGACAATTAAAAATGTTGCATGGGCAATATTTCACATAATGGTTACACCACAGTGCAGTAGCAGCTTGTGACCAGAGAAGTAAGTAGAGCACGTGGACATTTCCTTATTTCATGTTTGAAGTATTTGTGAATCCCACATTATGCTCTTGGGGTCATCTCTCCAATCAGCAAAGACTAATCATTATTATTATCATGTGATTTGTGTAAGGTGCTTTGAACAGAAGTGCCTGATAATCAAACATAAACTTTGACTTACAATCTACTGGCATATTAAACATAAATTTGGAACTAAATTAATGAACTGATATATAAGAACATGAAAAAAGAGAATATAACATGAACAGGAACATTCAGTAAGGATGCTCCTTTGAGAGAGACGACATTAAAAGCTAATTACCGAAAGATCGGTAACAGCCTCAATGAAATGCACAAGACTTCTGGCTAAACATTCATTTAGGAAAGACTTTTCATATTATTCAGGCCACTTAGATGATTTTCAGCAGCAGGAAATATGCTGTCACTTGCACTATTGGTGAGAGGTGGGTAGGGAAGGTGTAATATTACTGGTTGAACTGCCCACTTGATCCGAAGGCGCTGGTCCTGACGCCTGGTTGTTCTAGCTAACAGCAGCTGTGACTGAATTACTGGTAGCAAGCTTTGATTTGAGAACCAGAAATCGTTGTATGGTGTTTTTATCTATGTATGAGTCCTTTAAGTGAAATCCATCACGTAATCTATCTAACCAGGTAATCGTATTTATACTGAGCGCAGACATCAACCCTAGCAAACTGTCAAATATGAAATACTTGCTGAAATGCTGTGATGTTTCAGGAGTCAGTGGAGCCTCTGATCAGGGCTGATTAGTCATTAATGTCACCTAGCTAGCTAATTATTTATCTAATAAATTAAACCACAAGAAGCAAGGATCCTTATTCAATGCAACACTACAACCATTTTGACAAGAATACGCCGGAATAAGAATGAGCTAATATTCCTCCTCCACTATCCACTAGAAATGCTCTGGAGATTTTTTTTGTCCAACCAACAAATCAGAAATCAGAAAATTCTGACGAGGCAAATGAAACAAATGTGATTGGTAGATTCAAATTGCATAGAATAAAGCTAATCAATTGGGTAGGCAGAGAAGACCGGGACATCCTTTAAGCTACCCAAATATCATTCGTTTTTCAGGGAACAGCAAAATAATAAGACATTAGGACAGACACACCAGGAGAAAAGAGGCTCCACACGCAAATACAGACAAAGGCCACAAGCACTGAAACATAGAAAGTCACAAATGGATAGAGGGGAGGGGGCCCACCTGACATAGAGAGATATGGGCACCACAGTGTTTAGGATGATGACATAGGACCAGAAGGTGAGAAATGCAGAAAAGGAAGCATTCACCCCTTCGTCCCGGGGCAAGAATGCGGTGAACACAGTGCCCTCCTTGTGCTCCCAGATCCCATTTCCAATGGCTAGAATGGTGCACATGAAGGCGAGGAAGCCAAAGATCTGAAGAGCAGTAAACAGAGCCCCTTGTCAGAATGCAACACAACACAAACCAGCTAGTTCCCAGCTGGGGGTTATACACCAGTTAATCCACAACTGGGGGTTATGAACCAGTCAGTCCGCAGCTAGGGGTTATGAACCAGTCAGTCCGCAGCTAGGGGTTATGAACCGTCTAGTCTGTAGCTGGGAGGTAATTTCAACACACATTTTAGTGTTTCACTCAATGGTATTTACTGTTTGAACCAAGCCTCTGATGTACAATGGTCGACTTTATATGATTTAAACCTTCAGCTTTTTAGCAAAGACTCCCATGTGCTAATTTCCATAAAACCAGAACTCACACAGAGGACCAGCACATTCATGAGGTGGTCAATGCTTGTGCGCTTGAATGTCGTCTTGCCACAGTTCTGCATCAACTTAGTCTCGTGACCTAAAGACACAGATGAAGCCAGATTAAAGACATACATTTTAGGGCATTTAATTGTACCAAAGACTTAAATAATTCATCAGTCATTTTCACATCAACATATGAATGGATTATCACACTAACACATGCTCCTTACCACCAAAGATCACCAGACCAAAGCACCAGTCTGTGTTCCTCAATCTGCAACCACGGAGAAGGATCTTCTCATTGTCCAGGGAGTACTTCTGCCCCTGAAAGGTCATGGTGCCCGTAAATTTATCCAGCCTGTTGTTTGGGGGCTCACAGCGGACTTCACCTATGGAGATAAGGGGGTATGGGGGGGGAGGGCCAGAATAATCAACATGTTCTGACTCAGTAACCACTTCTATAACAATTACTATTATGGGTGATATACTTGTATATTTCATGTAAAGCTAATGAACAGTTTTGAATTGTAAGAACTGATACCTTAAACGCACAATACGTACTTGTTCACTTTTAAACATGTAATATTTAATGCTTTATTAATTTATTTATTTGTAATTTATTTAGCAATGTGCTGTATATATTAAAGGTCCAATTCTAATTCTTTCCAATGTTGCTCCTTGTGACCATTTAATTCACCAGCAATGAGGTTAATAATACAATCAATAATATATTTAATAATAATTTATAAACATTTAAACATAATATTCAGATGCTACTCGACTTACAATGGGGTTACATTTTGTTGAACCCATCGTAAGTTCCAAATATTACAAGTCAAATATGAATATGGTATGATATGACACACTCAGGCATTTAGTAGACATGCGACATGCTTGGGCTTGGGAAAATTTTGTTCAGGTCAAGTCAGGTGGGGGAGCATGAACTGGTGCAGTGCACCCATCACACCACAACTCGGGATCCCAGTTGGCGACCCCCAAGGCCACCACACAGTCCAGTCCCACCCTCCAGAAATGCATATCTATCTGTTGCAGCCAGGTGTTATATGGGCGTCCCCTTGGCCTGGTCAGGCCACTCGGACCCTCAGCAATGAGGATCCTGCCAGCCATATCACCCTCAGGAACGTGAACCCAGAAATGTCCAACATTCTAGCCGGAAGATCAGCTTTAAACAGCTGGTCAGAGTTCTGCCCCAGCGAGTCACAACTGCAGTGTCATCTGTAAGGACCGTTCCATCACCTGCCCTGACTGTAACTCTCTGAGGAACAGATTCGAATGTGTGAAATCCTTCGATTCCTCTGTAAGCAGAACTTCAGTCGCTAGACCACAGATGGTTCTTCATCTGTTCACAGATTCCTCTAATAAACGCCCCCTTATCTGCCCTCAGAGCTCTCGCAGTCATCCTTCTCGATTCCCAGTGCAAACGCAAGTTGCGATAAAGCAGTGGGCTGTGACTCCTTTCGATAATATCCAGGGTGCCCTGCGAGATGAAGTACCTCCTTCTGGGAACACCAGTAACACCAACACAATCCTCAGCAATTTTCAGGGCCTTATCATGGAAGGTCTCCAACACTGCATTAAGATCAGTAGTCGCACCCATGCCTGCAAATTCCTCACACAAACTACATGCAAACTCATTATTCAGCCTCATTCTCCTAGAAGTTGGCAGCCTACTGGACTTAAGCTGAATCTTCAGAGTAACACCAACAAGATTGTAGCAGAATTCATAGAATTCATAAACTGGGCACTTCTGTACGCCCTGCAATTATGTGGGAGCATTCAGCATCTGCCCACAAAGATATACTTCACTGCACCACCAGTATGGAAGTACCAAGTCCAGTGCTGCAGTTCAGGGCACTGGGACCAGGATCCAGCAAACCGTAGACCCTGCCGTTTTGCAAAGTCAAGAAACATTGAGCCACTTTTACCACAGCCATCACACCCATGGGCACAGACACGGTCCTCTTAGCCGGCCCTGTCAATGTCAGTGGTCGCACTGAAATCACTCATGACCAGGGGAGCGTCACCTCGTGGGTGACATCCACCACCGAGCAAAGTCGTGAGTAAAATGTCTCCCTCAGTGAAGTATCACTCACCACAGTGGGAGTATACACTGAGACACCAGACAAGACACCCAGAGATAGCAACAGCTACTCCCTGAGTATGGCAGCCATCTGAGCGACCAGACCATAAATATGGAGTTTACAGAACGCCCCCCCCAACAGCAGGGGAAGATGGTCATCATGGCAGAGAGAAAAGATGTTCCACGCACCTACCAGTGGGTGGCTACAGGTTGGAGGGCTGTTTACAGGACCGGATGGAGTTTAATGTCATACCCATTTTGTGTTAAACACACACAAAAAACACTGTGTGATACGTTGTTGAACACTGTATGAAATGTTTATGCTTGCAATCGCTACAGAGACTGTAAGTGTGGCTGGGTGAATGCTGCCATAGGCCAGCATCGATAGACAGAATCATATGGCATATCGCTAGCAAGGGAACAGATCACAGATCAAAGTTAATTACAAAATGTGCATCGAATCACACCATCGTAATATCGTAAGTCAAACCATCATAAGGCAAGGAGCATTGTATTTAAGAATGATCTTGTTTGATACTGGAGACTGAGGTGAAAATCCTGAGGACCCCAATACTATGTATGGATGCCGTGTTGTAAGGCCCTGGTCCTGATCTGCCACTGGTGAGCTCAGCTCCCAGACTCACCATTGAAGGCAGCCAGCTTGGCAATGCTGTCTCCCATTTCCCCAGTTACTGTTAGTGACTGTTTCACTTTCAGGTTGGTTTCACTGCGGAGGGTGAGAACAGAATCATGCACACATGACTTCACTATGAATATTATCACAAAAGGAAGACAGCATAACTAAGCTATTCTGATGCATATGAAATTTCACACTGTTACAAAGACATACATTTCCTACTAGAAGTATGACTGAGTATAAGAAAGGTGTGTTAAATCATGAGAGTATGCAATAAAATGTAAAGTGACTGACAAGTTCCGTCTGACTGTTCCAAATTGTCACAGGTGACATTTTAACCATGTGCTATATCACATTACATTATCAGATGCTTTTGACTGTAACGCTGAGAAAGCAGAGCCAGCCAGCCCCCGGAGAAATTGGGGTTAAGGGTCTTGTTCAAGTGCCCAACAGTAAAATCACTCAGAATACCACGGGATTTGGACCAGCAACTGTCCAATTTCAGGCGCTAAGCTACAGAGCCATACGAAGCCACACTGCCGCAAAGGTACTGACCCATCCAGCTCTGCTGTCTCGATGTAGACCAGGTTCAGTGGTTCACTGCTGGACAGCAGAAGCAGGTCAGCCTGGAATACAGATCGGTGCATATGAGTCAGATACATATCTATTCTTTCTGGGAATTAATGTATGAATGAATGAATGAATGAATGAATGAATGCAGATGATGCAGAAATAGCTATAACACATAGCCAAGCAGGAATCTTTGACACATCTTCCAATATGTCATAAAACAGTTGTGAGAAAAATGGTTACAGAATGTTGTGAGTGCAAACATCTTGTCAGCTATCAGGCAGTGAGCATGTAGGGATCACTCACCGTTACAAACTGGTTGTTTTCCAGTTTAATGATATCTCCCACTTGAACATTCATCCATTTTTCACTCCTTAGCCTGCAAGATTAATAATAAAAGACTATGGAGGCTTTCGTATAATGTATTTACACTAAATACAAGTCGCTTAATAGCGGCAATTATGTTGCTGAAGTTTAAAACCCAGCAATCTAGGTATGCTTAAACAGACGTAAACAGACGTAACAAGACGTAGACGCTCGTAGAGCATAATTATGCCTAATTCTGTGTGAAAGGCTATGCTGCCCTCTAGTGTTTCAAAATGTAAAAACCTCACATTCATCCATTCCCAACAAGTTAAGTACAGACAGTTCCCGGTTACAAACGAGATCCGTTCTCTAAGTCTGTTTTTAAGCCGAATTTGTGGGTAAGTGAGAAAGATAATAATACATTATAAAAAAATAATCATTACACAGTATTAATATAAGTAACTACACACGGTACTGTACTGAACTTGGAGTAGACGGACTGCTGAACCCGCACAGTGTTTTCAAGAACATCACAAAGTTGGGCGTGAGCCGATTACCAACCATTACATTTACCCTCAAATCAATCTTTACTTTGTATTAAGGATGAAATGGTTTCACGAAAAATTCCCGAATTTCCCCATTTGCTAAGAATTAATTCTTGAAACAGAACAGTTCAGACCGGTTTCCTTCGTCTTTATGGATTTTCCAGCCTAACTATGATGTGACAGCATTATTTGTATTTTTTCTGAAGTTCAGTAAATAGTTGAACTCTTACGAGATGATGTGGTTTTCATGTTTACATAGGTATTGGCTACGTTATTATTTTAATGTTTATGCAAACAAAAAATGCAAGGTGCTGCTACAGTAACTGTATTTGTGATTTTCAGTATAGAACTTGGTGAAATGATAGCAGTTTCTGTATCAGTACTTTTTCCAGAACATTTTAATCATATCGCAATAATTCAAACAGACACACTTCAGATGGAGCTTATAGACTTACAGTGCAGAGGAAAGGGAAGGTTTAGAGATACAAACAGAAACCCAGACATGACTGCATAAATTTCTGAGAGTTACCCTCTTCCTTGTTAGAGTTGTCCAAACAGTTCCAGCAGGTCATGCGTTTGTTTGGAATCACATATCTTTGTGAGAAACTTTTCTCCACTATAAACTTAAATCAAAATGCAGATCCAGGCTGCCTGACGGTCGTGTCCAAGCCATTCTCTGTCTACTGTCAGCTCCCTCAACGCAAATGTTACTGACCTTACTCAGCAGGAGCACTGCCAGATTTCTGGTAGCCAGAAATAAACAAAAACTGACCAGGCCACCAGAATGTCCTGAATATAATTAATGACTGTATATATTTCAAATTTGAAGTTGAAAAAGATAGCATACTCTCTATGTATGTATATGTGATTTCTCACGTGGCCTCCTTGGGGGAATTCCACATAAGCAGTGGCCCCCCAGGTAATTTGAGTTTGAGACCTTTGATTTAACCTGAATTTTTAATATAATAGACTTAATGTTAGTCAGTTCGTAAGTATGAGTTCTTAAGCTGGAGTCTGTCTGTATACTCATAGACCACAGAAAAGTTTCATGTTCAGTTTCCTGTTTTTGAGGATTTTTGGTGACCTCTCACTTGCGACACAATGCTGTGTTTCAGACTGATTTACTGAGGTCTTTGGCATTAGGTTCAAAGCATCTGTAGGTATATACATTAAGGATTCCATATAACCCGGAGGATTTCACTAAAGTAATTCCATGATTTTTATATGATTGAAATTTAACACTGGGAAATCTGCTAATGTCTTAAAGGGGTGTTTCAGAGCTGGGTGAATTTTGCAATAAAAAAATAATTATCAGGAATTCACTCATATTTGGAAGAAAAAAAAAAGAGATTGATTCTGAGACATAACTTGACCAGAGGAAATGTATGACATGTATGCTGACAAGGAGTCTGAAATGTCAGTGTGAGACAATGATGATAAAATATGTTGCAACCAACTTCCCAAAATAGTTTCCAAAATTGTAACCTCCAGTCCCTTTTAACGCTGGCCTGCAGAGCTCCTGAAGGTTCATAATCTCAACACCTTGATGTTTCAGTTATGGACATTCAGTAAAAAAAAAAAAAAAAACAATAAAATACTTGAACTCACTCTCCATTGATTAGGACGTCGACCAGACGGTTGTTGACCTGCTTGTCACTTTTGTGCCTGTTCTAAAATAGCAAGAGAGATAAGAATATTTTTAAAAAGACCTGGGAAAAGTAAGGAAAGGGAGAAAAAGAAAGCAGACTTTATCTTCATGGTGCCCAAAATCTCTAGCAGCACCCTTGATTCTGATATAAATACTGTAAATTCACTTTCTAAAAGAGTTGCTGATAAAGGTTACCTATACGGTCCCACTTAGAAGTTTACTTTACTTTCATATTTTACACATTTTTAAGTTAGATGCTGCAACTACAGTATAGTCATTAATTTACTAATAATACTTGAACAGTGGTCATCAATTGCTACTGTACTAGCACAGGGTTGCAATGTTTGTATCTTTATGCCAGAAATAATAATTAATATACTAAAGCAGATTAAAATAGCCGTTTCCACATAGTGTACTACAGGGAAACCTCTGTTAAATAGTTTTAAAAATATTTGCAACTGAATTTGGACAAGGCCCCAGCTTGCCGAATATGAACAAACTTACTCTTCTTGGACAAGAAGTAAAGCATCTTTACTAAAGATGAAATACCGCGATAAAGTAAAACAAATAATCTATGAAGAAACTATACATTGTAACAAAGGAAAAAGCAATAGCAACCCAATACAGACATCATAATTAATTGTGAGATGCCATACACAATAATACTTATTTTAAGGAAGTGCCAGTATTTTCACTCTCAACATAGGGCAAAAAAGGAGCTCCCAGAAAATAAATCCATTTGCAATGCTACTTTTTGATTGATACATTTACTTTGAGTCAAAGTTAAATAAGGGGATAAATCTGAAATGCAAAAAAAAAAGAAATGACAATACATTGCAAAACTTATTTTTGCACTTCACAGGATGTTGGCTGGAATCCCACGAGAACAACAGTTTATCATTAAGGAACCCAATGTAAAGTGTCCAATGCAGAAAACTTGCAGTACTTGTATGAATGCATAACTCTCAGAAGTCAATAAGTGTTTGCCATTCGATAACAGTGAACAGTGGCCCTAAAAAGAAGGTATATCTGCCAGGCAGTGGCTCAACTCACGATGTCGTCACTGGCATCTTTCGCCGCTGTGATTGACAACACCAAGACCAGCGGAACCACAGTGGTGAACCAGGAAAGCGAGGAAATGGCCGGGATCAGCTGAAACAGGACGAACAGCAGGTATATATGAATGGTATCAGAGGAAAGGGAAAGTATGAGAAATACACCATACATGCAAAACATATTAGAAATATAAACATATTCACAAAAAGACCTGTTAATACCAAGAATACTAAATCTTAAAATAGTGCATTTAAATGGGCACTATATAATAAGACATTAATAACTGTGTCACACATTAAGAAAATACAGGACATAAAATGGTGAAATTTCTCATTCAATCCAAGGACAGATAAGTAGATGTCTGAAGTAGGTTTATCAAATACAGTGTGAAAATTGTATTACTTTGTGAACTAGATTAATGAATTTTTAAACATTACCAAAAATTCCCAGAAACCTACAAGGCTTGGAGATTGACTGACATTGGACATTGATTTAGGCCTTTGTGTGTCCGTGATGTGTGTTTGTTTGTGTGTGCATGTGTGTGTGTGTGTGTGGGGGGTTATTGGATGAGGATTTGGTCACCTGGAGGATGAGGAGGAAGAGGAAATAGGCATTGGCTATTCTCTGGAACTGCTCGAAAAAGTTCAGAGGCAGGAAGGTAATCAAGTTGTATTTAGAGGTTTTTATGGCATTTGTCTAAAGGATGAACAAAGGGAAAAGAGACACGTTATGCCAGCATCAGAAATAGATCAAATTAATTCCAGTGTTGACTTTCATTGATTGCTGGTATCAATAAAATGCTTCATCAGTTCGTCACGTGTTTAATGACTGGCATAATTTTATGTGGCACGTTAAACTAAACTAAAACTTTTTTTTTCCTAATGCAGTCTGTTACAAAAATACTAAAACTCTGCAACATAAATGGTGCTGAAAGGAACCGTATATATTTTTATAGATACATATTGAGGTTGGCCAATGAAACTGAAACACAGGCTAATATAGTGTTTGAGGTTTCATGCCTATATGCATGCAGCCTGGTGGCCAATCTGTACTGTTTGCACATTCCATCAGCAGCATCAGAGTGTGAAGGTTGAATTAAAGCAATAGTACAGCTGTACATAAAACATAATGGGAGACATATCAGTTCAAAAGAGGACAAATTGTAGGTGTGTCTTGCTGGCTCATCTGTGACCATGGCACAGCAAATCTTAAGCACTATTTCTGAAGCACTATTGTTGTCTAAACGATCTATAGAAATTTCTTTGCTTTTATAGTTTCCATTAAGTAAAATTCATCAGAATTAGGGCTGCCACTAACCGCTTTTGTTCTACTGATTAATCTATCGGCTATTTTACCGATTAGTCGAGTAAATGACATGTTTTGAAGTTAAAATACATACCTCTTAAGCACAGAATGTGTCAGTATTTATTATGTCTATTAAACAATCCATTAAGTAATGGCAAATATACGAGGGAACAAACCTCAGATCTTTAACTTAAATTTAGTCCAAGTTTGTTTTACCAAACTTTTCACTAAATGGAGTGTTCTGGAAATTGTGACATATTGTTCCAAAAATAAAGTTATGTAATTTTCTTTTTTTAGAAAAGTCCAGGAAAGGGACAATCATTTTTTAAAGGAGATTAATTAGGTGTCAACATATACTAGATGAACGCTTTTGGCAAAATGTTTCAAAATTAGAACTATATTTATTTTTTTATTCTGTATTAACATTCTGAACACTAATAACATTGAGGTTTTACAATTCAATCCATACACTTTCAAAATATGTTGAACAGTGTGCACATTTTTAAATGAAATAGTGTGAGTACTGTACACTGACTGCAGTGTTGAACAAAGCCTTTGTATGACCAATCCCCTTAACTTCTAAACAGGAAGAGCACTTACAATTTTAGCCCAACAGTGAGCAAACCCTTTCTTTTTCTAGTATACTGATATATGACATTTGCTAACAATAGAGCACCATTTTCGCTGCAGGATAAGAGACAGCTGCACAATTAAATAAAAAATAACTGATCAGAAACATATGCTACAAAAGTCTTTACTGCTGGACATTCAGCTCATGAATGGTGTTTTGCCTCCCATGATACCAGAATATAAAAACCATGTGCTGTTTCTAGCATAGTTATGGGTGCATAATTTTCCACATTTTTTCATAGTAACAAATCACTGTGGAGACCAGTACAAGATACAGAGCTGTAAACTCTTAATAATTCAAGTTACATTCACAAGTAAAACATTATTTTTTCTTGCATTTAGATTAGGCCTATTTAGAACACTCATCATCCAAAACTGGTATCAAAACATCTCATACTTTGCGATATTCGATATTCGACAGAAAAGCATGTTAAATTGGTTCTTAAAAAAAGATGTAATTGTACATCTGCGGATGTGTACAATTACAGTGCTTACTCCATATTTGTAGGAAAGATTGAGCTCTCTGTCATTAGCACGTAGGTGCCTCTCTTCCTCTGTTAGGCAACAGAAATACATTGAGTTAGGCCAGAACAGTTTACAGTGAACTGTGACTGCATATACAGTAGGAGTAACACTTACCGCTGAAGAGATGTTGCTGCTTCAGATGTTCAACAAAATACATTGGCTATAAGTTTACCTTTGTTTCGTCAGAGAAGCTAAATATATTGCATCAAATGTGTTTTAATATTTCTGGAAGTGTATTTTACAGCATAATACTTTTTCGTTTTGTTTTCAAATAGCCACAAAACTCAACCAAAAAATAATAGTCCAGTTGGTAGCCTTCTCGTATGTTGGCCTTAACCACGAGATCTGAACATCCTGGTTTGTGAGGAAGCTGACAAAAACCTTCAGCTTGTGTGGCTGTGAAAATGAAACCCGGATGTGTTCAATGTGTGACATCAAAATTGCGAAGTATGTCATGTGACCAAATTATTTATTATTATTCATTGGCCATATATGTTTGCTGGTTTAGTGTCTCCCCTTTAACCTGGAGAATATCATTTAACACACTGCACACAGCATTTTACATACTGTATCTTAATTGAGCAAACTGAACTATGAATTAGGCTAAGGTGCTGAATTAGCTAAAATATAGAATCTGTTGCTGATTTCACCCTTGCATTTTGGATCATGCATGTGGTCTTCAGCGAACTTGAGCTGTACAGCGAGGTTTGTTGAAATGTCTTCCAGCGTAACCTCCCATGAACATTACTCTGGTAACATTACAATGACTACTGTAGAAGATCCACGACTTGAGCAAGAGGTTGAATTGGTAAATCTGTGAATTGGAAATCTGTCTGGTGACTGACTACTAGTGTCTTTAAACATTCTTGCTTAATCCTTGCCGGCAGTCTGTGGCTCTGCGGGTTACATGGTCATGTCGAAATGTCACTGATTCAAAGGCGGTGGCTGCCATAGTATAACTGCTAAGCTCTTGAACAAGACCCTTAACCGTAACTTCTCTCCCACCTAGACGTATACAGCGTGTCTCATAGAAGATCAGGTGGGGATGTTTCAAAGCTAAAGAATTGCTATGTACTGTACATGCAGAATGGCAAATAAAGTACCATTATGAGCTTCAACAACTCTTCTTTTGAGGTACTCTTCAATCTCATTTAATAGGGCTATATTGCACAACATATTATGTAATAATGCAGCATTATGCAATAACTCAACAATGTAACAAATTGAGAGATGATAATTATAACTATGTTAATAATAATAATAAGGTAATGCTGCAATATAAAATTATAATGTAGTCTATAAATTTGTTGCACTTTGTCAAGTTATTACATGATGCGGTGTTATATGATGTGGTGTGTAACAATGCATTATGTAATAACATCGCATTATGTGATGAAAATTTGTTATATTTTGTTTAGTTATTACATAGTGCATTGTTACATGCACTTATTGTACAGAACTCCATTGTCAAATGGTAACCAACATTTGTGCATGATTTATACGGCAGGGTGGGTCAAACCCACACTGAATCGTCTTCATTATGTCCCCTGCCTGGGAGCTATAGTGCATAAAGAAACTTTCCTCCTAGGATCAATAAAGTCAAAATTAATCTTGAACTTAAAACAACAAAGAATGGACTCGGTCAAAATCGTACCCTTATCTGTAGTGGATAGTCATGCATTGGAAAAAATGCACTAGCTAAAAAAAAAGTAATAATTTGTTTTTAAATACCTGTATTGTAAATATTAATGTTACTAGTGCAGTAAATCACCACATCGACATGCTATATTTGATACTTGTGCTGCCAATATGAGATCTTTTTATAAGAAAACTTTGATACCAAACAAATCTACTAACAGCACACAATTCTAATGGGCAATCCTACTGATTTCACATAACACGTCATTAAATACTAAATGTAAAATTCAGTGCACATGACTGAATTAAATTACGGTAAAATAGCTATAGAAAGACATCCTGTTGTGAAAAGTGACATAACATCAGAACAGTTAAGACCTACCTTTCTTTTTATTTTTCCCATAGCATAAAGCAAAGGATGACATCACTGAGCCCATCCTTCATGCCATGCATCCATAATACGTCTGTGTGGGGGGGGAGAGACAACAGACAACAGCATTGCTGTAAATGAGATGACTCCTTAACCACCAACCCAGGCATTTAATATGTGATTTACTGTGTGTCCCAAGATGTAATGGCATAACCACAAAACACCACAACTGAACACACAATGTTTAAGTAGCTTATGATTTATAGCTCAAAAATGCACTGAATGGTAGGCATACAATTCTGAAATATGTTATTGTGTTTGTTTTTATCTGTGCAGTAGGAAGCAAGAGTCTTAATAAACATGTTGTTTTTAAATGGGCATAGATGTAATACTTAAGCCTTAACCACGAAACATCCCATTCGTTTATCCAAAATAAGGACGTGGTAGGCACTAGGGTAACGCCCTAGCTGGGATGCCAGTCCATTGTAGGGCATGCACTGTGGGCATTTTTTTTTCTGAAGTCGCTTACAATTTCAGTTGCACTGTTTTTGGGCTTGTTCTTATTTTGAGGTTGTAGTTTTAAGGATTTTTAAAACATAATTCACATTTTTGTTAGATGACAGATTTATCATTTACAGAAATTAAAAAATTAATGACAGTTATAAGCTACAACAGACCCAGCCCATCATTGATCAAATGATCGACATTAGACAGCTGACAGTATTTTGATTTTTCAAAGTAGCGCTATTTATTCACCAAGAGCAGTTAATATACATCATTTCACATCACTTGATTAAAATTACATTTTTGGTCAGAATTTGATATTTTATGCATGGTTAAATGTTAAAGTTCTTGTTTACCAGATATCACAAATATTTTCTTTGTGATCTTTTTGAGTTCAGTTTCCAATATTTTGTGTAAAATGTGCAACAGAGGTGCTTATTTAGTTTATGGCAAGCCATAAAGGAGTTACTTATTGTCACACTAACAAAAGAAAATGATAAATTGAAACTTTTGAATAATGGCTTCAGTATGTGTCACTGTTGCATGTATGTTACATTTACAAGGAACACACACAATATGGCAAACACAGGACAAACTGTATTCCACGTGGTTGTGTATATCTGGCTTAATTTTAGGCTTGATTTCTCCAACTTACTTTGCAAAGTGGGCTTACTTTGGGCTTGTTTTCAGGGGTGAGGTTGCTTCTTTGTCTGGTCACGCACATATACAAGCACCTCAGGCAGTGATGCCAGCTAGTATTTGGAATGTGGAAACCATGAGACATTGGGGGGACACGCAAAATCCACACCGAGAGTTTCGGCAGGGAACTAACAGCTAAAGCTCGAGGTGCAAGGCCACAGTGCTAGCGACTGAACCATCACGCCAGCCAGAAAGGGAACACTGATTTTCATTTTACATTATTGGCACAAAACTAAGCATCTTAGCTGCTGAAAAATACCAAGGTTTGGAAGTGAAACGTGAGACGTTGCTGGATAAATGAATTTGAGATGGGATCAAATGAAAGGTAGTTGTTTTTAATCTGAGCAAGTAATTAAAGTAATTAAAGCCGGTGTGAAACCTAGCTACTGAAATGGTGCATTTGTGAAAACACGTATGATCAAAATGCAGAGATCGTGCTCCCACTAGTGTTACGCTTGCCTCATGATCTTTATCCAGCACCGTTTGGTGAATTACCTTATCGTAACTGACCACGTAAACCACACACAATGGCAGCCCCTTTACAGAAATTGAGAGCACGGGTGAAGTTCTGTTTACTTAAAGTGTTACACTTTGTTATCTAACATTGTTAACCACCCCCCCCCCCACCATTAATACTGAAGGAAGTAGGGGATGGAGGAAATGTTCCCATTCTTACCCTATCTGTAAAGTTTCAGGAATCATGCTGGGCTTGAAGTACAATGAAAGACAAATTGTAATTATGTAGCATTTGAGGGGTGACACCTTTCTCCTAAACACCATGAATATTACACTGCCTTTAGTTACACAGTGGGGTTATCTAACCAACTTCAAATGAGCAAATGGGTAGTAGCAGTATGCTGGTAGCATAGTCATTAGTGAAATACGAACCACGGCCCTGCAGCCTTCAGAGGTGCTTCCCATCCACCCAATTCCTGTAACCGCTCATCCTGCTAATAATATTAGTTCACCCAGAGCTGTTTCTATGGCTTTGTGAAAGAATCCATTCCACTTGATCGATATGAGAATACACATATGGCATCTAATTCATTAAAAAATTACTGGGGGAGGGTCCCCACCACATTCAAAATGCTTCTGACTCCCCTTAGACGGAGGCATATGTAGGAGAAAAATATGGTCATTTCCAAAAAGGCTTATACCTTCAAATATCAAGATTTTTCATGTTGCAAAGTGAATTTTCAGTTTTTTAAACATAGCTGCTAAATAGGTTTAGATTTTAGATCGTCAGTCCACCTGTTGAGTACATGTGATTATATTCATATAGGCCAGGGTTATACGACAGTAATTATTCTCCTAAGTGTGTGTTTGTTTTAATGTTTGACAGCCCTATTTATAACACAATTTCTTTTTTTACTATCATTTCTCCATCGAGCCTTTTTAAAAGCATTGAACTTCAGCTTGTACTCGCTTGCAAGAAGTATTTTTGAATGCTTGAATAATCTGTATGTGACAATAAAACCATTAAACAAATATTACAATGTGTGTCATTATCGTGAGCATGAGAATTAAAAAACAATGTTATAGTGAAGCACAGTGTTTGCTTTTTATTTGAAGCAATAGCATTATCTTAAACTTTTAGCAGTATTAAAATTGTCATTTGTTGCTGTGATTTGATTATTTTAAATCATTTTTGACTAAATAGGTAGTCAAAATCAGTAACATAAAACTACATAAATGTTTTTGAATCTATCAACTTCATTGCATGTAGACCACAATGAACAATCAACTTATGTGACAAGATATTTATTTTTGCTCAATTTTTTGTTCATTTTGTTATTTTTTCATCATCTAAGTAACTCTTGTCCTTGATTTGATGAAGTACTTTTGTTTATTACAGAAATAAAATTTTATTTATGCTTGTTCAAATATACCTTTTGCCATGTCAGTCAGAACTCCTTGAACAGTAATGAGATACCCTTGGATGAGTCCTTCATTGCACTAATACTGCTAGAATTTAGACCTGAAAGCAGTGGAGAAGTGGACTGGGAGAAGGAAAGAGGAGTGGACCAAAGCTGGGGCTACAGACAGGGAAAGGCAGCTATTTAGGTCAAGGCTAAAGCACCAGAGAGATAGTCAAGCGTGAATGTTATTGCAAAGTTATCGAATAGATCCACAAAACAGCAAAGCTATGCAAAAGCCCACTTAAAAAAAGAGACTGAAATCTATGCAAATTATAGGATGCTTAAATAGATTGACTTTCAGAGGTGCTGCCCTCTAGAGGATGGATGGACTACTAACATGTAAATCTAAAGTCTGAGTGAGTCATTCTCAATTCTCATATTCAAATATATAACCTATTTTTCAACTAATTGTAAAAATATACTTGGGCTGTGCCATGATTTAAAATACTCATCACAAGCTATTTTTTCACAAAAATATATATCAGTAAAAAGATCATTTTAATATGAAACTCCATCTGCATCACATACATGTAATGATGTCTATTTACCACACGTATGACTACACCGAACAGTAAAGCATTAGTCATTCTCTGTATTTATCAGTGTGTGCAGGATTTGCTTGACATGGGTATTTATATTTCAGGAAATTAACAATGAGTCTCACTGGTCAGTACAAAAAACATCTCCGACTCCTAAAACAACAATACATTAGGCACATTTGTATACCTTCAGGGGGAGCAAACAAAGGAAAGGGTGGCTTTGTCATGCGTAATTTGTCATGTGTACAGCTGCTTTGAGAAACTACTACACCAGCAATGTGTGCTAGATTTGCACGAATTCTGAAATGCAGTTTCAGATCACGAGAGCAGCAATTTCATTGGGACCATAAAGATTGTAGCTATCTTGGCAGAAATCTCCCAACTCCACAATGAATGACAGTGGAAACCCATCAGCAGTAAGTAGGCAATTTAAATAATATAATTGAATTAATATACTCATACTGTAATAGGATGGCTGTCTCTTTTTGTGTGGTGTTATTTCTTATTTATCACTTATGCTGTTAAACAGAGAGCTGCTGAACTGTTTTCACTGTTTCTGTAATAGTGACAATAAAGATCTATCTTATCTTATCTTATATATGGTAAAGAAATACCAAAAAGCATGTAGAAATTGAACAGAATGTTTAACAGCAAAAATTAATTCTTCCCTAAGAGTGAAACTGCATTTGCTCCATAGATTACAAGTACTGAGGAACTGCTTCAAAATATCTTGACCATGGAAACTGCCTGTGTTTTATGTTTGTTTGAGAACAGATACAGGAGACAGGTCACGAAAGACTTATTCTGATTGCTCGGAATAATAGTTAATAATTACTATGACCACTGATATGACAAAGATTTAATGATAGAATATACTGTTTTATTTTGTTTTTTTAAAAAACACTAGGAAACATACAACTGGAATTTACAGTTTTAATCTCTCAGAGGACGGCATATGGATGAATTTTCCTATTTACCAGTTTCAGTTTGTCGGTTTCACTTCCCTTTGCTTTGAACAACTCCCGACATTTTCTAAACACTCCTCACAGAGCAATCGACTCCAGTGAGAATATGACCAAAACAAAATCTCCAGTAAGACGACTGCTAAGCATGGAAGAAGCAGAGGGAGCCTTACCAGCCTCCACAAGCCATCCAGCGTCCCCCCAGGTTATGCTAGCAGGCAGGGGAGAGTCCTTCACATTCCCCAGCTGGCCTTTTGTTTCCTCTTACTCTCTTCCTCAAATCCAGACGCATGGACTGGCCTCGGCCAGTGGGTGGGAATCAGAGCTGGAGTTTACTGGCAGCTTTGTCCCAAACGTTCACACGCGAAGATAAACACATATGGCCAACTCTCCCGTCACATCCCCCGAACCTTCCCTTCCCTCCCTGCCCTCCTACGCTGCATTAGCAATCTCGGCTACAACTTCCTTGTTTCTCTAATGTATAACTTTCCTGGAAGCTAAAAAAAGGAAACTGTCGTTTTTTTTTCTCTCTGTCGTGTTTGTTGTAGAAGCCCATCCTACTGGACTCCTTCTCCCAGCACGCACAAGCGGTCAGTTCCTTAGTTCCTTGCCTGCTGCAAAGCCAGATGTTTTCACTCATCTTCCCTGTACCTCAGGCAAAAGCGTAATAGTATACAGACACAGCACACAGAACAGCACCGTTTGATAGCTTTCTAAATTAAGGCTTTTACAGCTTTGGTAAACATTGTTACAGAACACGTAACTATTCTTTTATTATTATTTCCAAAATGGAAAGACTCATAAGAAATTCAGGTGAAGTCTGTGGAATGCAGACTAACAGTTGCTTTAACAGTTCTGTTGATTTTAAATATGCCTGGATACTGGTTTAGTATAGATTTGTAAGTTCTATCTTGCAGTATCCAAAGTCAGTCTCACTAGCAATGCAGTTCAAATGTCACCTGGGGTTTAATACAATATAACACCAACTTCCTCAAATTACATTAAACAGAATATTTACTCAGGGCTTACAAAGATCTACTGAAATGTTCAAATAGGAAGATCAGAAATGATCTTGCCATAGTGAAAACTGAACCCAGAACATTTGTTTTGAGGATATGAAAGAAGTAACAGTAATCTGCAGGGTTAGGTCTGAGTAGTCCAAACTGTCTGATTATAGTGAAACATAGGAAGCTTTGAATGCTTTATTATGCCCCCTAACCAGCGGAAAGTATAGTTTTGATAAAGTAATCACAAGGAGACCTAAGAGCACTAACGCTGGACTTTGCACCTGCATTAATTTTTTATGTTGATCTTATCATTTGTTGTAATGTTCAGTGACATATGTTGTAATTCAAGGTTAAAATCACTCTGTAACCCATGTTAAGCTTCACCGCATGAAAGCAATCTATGCCGATATAAAAAACATTAATGAAGACATGATGCTTTTTATGACACTGATGTAGTGCTAATATATATTTAGCATTCATTATATGGAGTACACAATGACTGCCTCTGTCAAAGGATCAGCATGACCTAACTGGCACGTTTCAATAATACTAGGTGAGTGACCATAATTTTGTGTGACCCAATGACACGCACTGCTTTGGAAACCTGTTATAGAAAAAACATGCTATTAATACTACCAATCTTAAAAACCCTTATTATTAAAAGAATCAAATGCAATTTAATCACCATGAAACAAACCTGGTTAAGATGTCAGGTATGTCTTTTTCCGTATATCGCAGTCATCCAGGAAGTTGGTGCTTAGTAAGGGATGGGGGCTGAGTAGAATCCTGGTAACTTTGAGATCAGTTTCCCACAGCGAGAGCCAACATAAATCTGCTTCTTCTTCAGAGACTCCTGGATTCCCTACCTCAGGAAAATTGGGCTCCCTGCAGCTTCTCTCAGTACGCAGTGTGGCAGAGAAAGGAGAAGGCGTGGGCAGAAGCTGACAGGGTCCTCTGGCGGCAGTACGGTTGGAGAAAGAGACACAGCACGTTTTTGTGAAACTGAACACACAAGTCCGGCAGCCCAGTGCAGAAGTGAACAAATACTGCCATGATCTTTGGACCCAACAGGAGACTGAGCAGGGTGTGTGAAGAGCTGTAAAAGTGCTGATAAAAATACTGGCGGGTCAACCAGAGAACTCGCATCACCATTTGGTAAACCCAGATTATACAGTAAAAGATCACAGTTCACATCACTCATTTCCAGTTATGGAAAACAAATTAATTTATAATGATCAGGTACAACTGCAAGAAATACTGTTTGGAAGCAGATACGTTAGATATTACTTTTATCTACATGCATGCACAACAAACAAACTATTCTTCCAAAGTATTAATTCCACAATGAAAGTGATATATTGCTCAGCATGAATTTAGAACGTGTTGAAGAAAAATATGAAAATGTACCATACTACAAATCCACTGTACTTTACTGAAAAAGAGTTAACAGAATGTGTTCTCCTTCAGCCATTAACGTCTGAGGATCCGGAGGAATCCAATACTCAGGTGTGCACAAAGGGCTCTGTGTTACAGCAGGACTACAGTGGCTCTGTTGTAAAACTGAAATGAGTGCGTTTAATATTACAGCCCTTCCGCATTTTGCGCTAAAACATTGAGTTGTTTTTGTCGACAATCATGCTCTAAAGAATATTCACATGCAGCAAAGCACACATGCCATATTCAAGTTAAAACCTCCACTGTCAAACTTCAAATTAGCCCCACTTCAGAATGGTATTCAGGAAAGTCTTGAAATTCAGATATCTGGCATTTATTCTCTGCCTTGAATGAAACATGAGCTTATAATTTTGGAAAAAGACAAGCTTTGCAAAGATAGTGAGGCTGTAAAGACAGAACTGTCAGATGGAGCTCCGTAAGTATGACATCACCAAGGTTCTTCAAACTGGTTCTCAGCTCTTCTGAAGATGACTAGAAGTCGGACGGTTGTTTTTGGAATTTATATTTGGTTTGTTGCAACTATGGAGTGTTATACCACAGGCTTTTGGAGTCCAACTTTTTACTGTCCACAGATCGGTTTACATCATAAAAAAAACGTCATGGACCCATAAAATGGCCGTGTGTGTGTGGGGGGGGGGGTGGCTGTGACAAATCCATTGACGATTTAAATTGTTTAATTTTTTTAATGCAAATGTGATAGGACATTTAATATGTAGTTAATTTTTGTAAATTAACCAAATCCTCCAGTGTGCCCCAGCCCCGTGGAGTACTGGTCACAGACTGGTACTGGGGGTTGGGAACCACTACCAAAGGTTATCCAAAAAAATAAAAACTAATATATTATCTTTTGAGATTTTTACAGAACTGTATTGTCAAACATGGAGGTCATGTTTCTTTCATGAATATTGTATTGGTCTTTTAAGAAGTAGTCATGTACAAATTCACATATACAGTACTGGTCAAGACATCCAGTAACGCAGAATGATACTCATACTGTATGGCAAATACATCCAGCCTAAGGTACGATCTGAAATGGAAAGTACATCCATAGATCAAACATAAAAACAAACAGTCACTTGTGCATTGTACCTTTAGGAAATTAAATACAGGTATACCCCGCTTTATGAACGTTTGCGTTACACTACTTTACTCTTACGAAAGACCTACTATACATTAGCACCTGTTTTCACTAACCGAAAGAAATCCAGAGGATTTTCACTTTTACGAAAAAAATTAGAAAAAAGCAAAAATAGCGATGTGTTTTTTTCTTTTTTTTCAATCAGCAAGCCAATTATAGATATACAGTCAGGCGCTGCATAATATTTCGGCAAACAACGGACTGCAGGTATAACGGTTGTGAAAATTCCTATTGCCTAGTGACATCGTAGCGCAATACATTATTCACGTGTTTGTGGTGTTTCTGGTGTAAAACCTACCGCACTGCCAGTCATATAAAACTACAGCACATACAATTATGTACAGGATGTATAACGTGATAAATACATAACACAGTAACCGTTGTTATGTACTTATTATAGTTATTTAAGCTATACCATATAGCCTATAGGTGTGTAGTAGGCTATGCCATCTAGATTTGTGTATGTGTACTTTCATGTTCACATAATAACGAAATCACCTAATGACAGATTTCTCAGAACGTAACCCTATCGTTAAACTATGCATGGCTGTGTTGGTTGTGGTAAGTGAAACTACACTGATACGGTAATTATATTTCTACTTTATATAGGCAGCTAGTGTATTTATCATATTATTCCTGCTTTTATTATATGCTGATGTTATTTTAGGTTTTGTGTGTTATTAATTGGTATGATTAGGTAGGTTATTCCTTGGGTCTGGGAACACTCAAATTTTTTCCCCATATTAATTCATGGTAAATGGCTCTTCGCTTTACGTCACTTCGGCTCACAAACCACAGGAACGTTCTACTTTCATGAAGCGGGGGATACCTGTATTTATCATCAAGCATTATTAAAATGAAACCATTTTCAGTATTTAAAATGATAAAATTATTATATTACTTATTTCTCAAAAAATAATTCAAATGAAAAAAAAATCATGATTTTTAAAATAATGTGTGAAGGCAGTCATACCTTATCTCTATATCTATTCGTACTTAATATCAATTTTATTTAGGAAAACTGAAATCTGTATTAAATACTATAAGCATTGTGTTTATTATATCTGCCATTTAAGTTGAATAAAACAAGGATCAGTTATCTTGCAAAAAATAGTTCAGGGGAAAAAGTGTTCATTAAATTGTTTAAATACAAAAATCACTAGTTATGTATATGTTTAATGATCAATACTATTTTCCCCAGTGCTGTTACATAAAAATTCACAACCCAAATCTAGTTACTTTGATTGCTATACTATACATGCCATTATGGTGATAATGGGCAGGAATTCACATATAAAGTATTAACAAAGATAGACAAAAAAGCACTGCTTGGCACAAATTATGCACACAGTATTGCAGATCCCACCTTACCCCCATTCCATCTAGCCACACCTCCATCCGATCTAGCCACCCCCCCCATCACATTTGACCACACCCCTGTCCCATCTAGCAGAAACCACAGAGAGAATGTGGGCATGTGGGATCTAAACGGCCGCCATGCTGGAATGCACATCAGACAGTGGTAATGTGGGTGTGAAAATGCAGTGGAGAAGAACAGATCCTGTTAGCCACACGGTGAGCTTCACAGTGTGCACCCAAATGGGTTTAAGTGAGAGACATGTTATCACAATAGTGTCTTTAGAATATCTTGGGGTCTGATTGAAGAGGGATGGTTCATCAAAAAGAGCCAACAACAAACACTTATACTTTAACAACACAAATGTGACAGAAATAAAAAATAACAACAAAGTTTCCAAGCGGCTAAAGCAACAGCCAGAGAATCATGTATTTCAAAGAGAAAGTGCATGTTGAGAATATGTCACTACTATTGCGGTTTGATGTACATTTCTCTCCATTCTAGTAGTCTTTTTACTAGTTTTTTATGATCAACATAGCATAAAAGCACAATATTACTGTGTGATTGTTATACAGAGATTTAAAAATTGGCATCTTGTGTATTCACCACTTTAAGGCCTCTGAGTAGGACAGGATAAAAACTCACTGGAAATGAAGATTAAAAAAAAAATTGTGAATGTGTGGGTGGGATTGTTCCACGCACTGATATGGACGTGACTCTGAATGGCTGGTACATGCATCCATATAAGAAAACCAAAGCGATCAAACTCTCAGGTCAAATTGAAAGCCTGATTACCGAAGAAGTCTGGTTTCTTTCCATCTAAACAGTTAATTCTCATGCTAAGTCAAATAATTGAGTTAGTAATGTTTAACAAATCTGATTTAAACATAAATTCCCCTCTATATCCCACTGAAATGTGATGTTTTAGAGCCAGAAATGTATGCATCATGATGAAATTCACAGCCACAGAAATAAAGATTCAATGCTGTCTCAATACCCAGAAACCAAAACGTTTAGCAACAATTTTCCAGTGTATGACATTAAAAGCTAATCCCACTAAATAAATAGATTAATAAATAATAATGAACATTCACAGCTAGTCCAAACTTCGCTTGACACATATTCATAAAAATATGTTGGACCTATTCAGTCCCTGCATGATTGCATGGGAATCATTCTCACAAATACATACATGAGAAGACAATTTTTTGCCACAATACATTTAAGATAAAGCACATATGAATACAGAGTGCTGTGCATGGGGACTCTATGAAGGCAGCAGGTACGAACTGAAACAGGCCTCGATTACAGCTTTATTCTCCAGGCTGCTCGGTGAGATCGTGTGGGCGTCTTGAGAAATCAGAGACCGGCATGACCAAATACTACACATAGCCAGAACCTCAGCAAAGGCACTCAGTTTAGGCTTAACGCATCTCTGATTGACCAGAACCAGCAGCTGTCTGAGCACGGGAGGCTCTGGGACACATACCAAGAATCGGCAGTGCGACAATAAGTGCTGGCTTTTACTGGTCCAAAAACTAAACAAAAAAAAAGAGAAACGTCAAACACTTGAGACCATACAGGCATGACTGAAGCAACATGCTTTGCCATGTGTCACCTGCCAAATGATCAAACTTAAATTTGTTCATATCATTCTACGGTTTTCCCAACGTCTATGAAACATAAGCAGATATAAATTCTTTCAGTGTGAAACGTGTGGCTATGCGTGCATATCTGACTTCCAGATATAATGATAAATTAAACAGTCTCAGTGTTACCAGGAGCACAGTCAATACTGTTTAACACCCTGTGGCACAATCAAACATCCAAATTCACACATGTAGGTAAAGGTAAGGCATCCATGACGGGAACATATTGCACGTGGTTAACATAGGGAGTGAGGAGATGGCAGATTGGCAGCTGGACCAGAGGGCAGATGGCATTCAGGACTCTAGAAGGTCTACAGTAACAGGACTGTGTGTGTATGTGTGACACAGCTTCAGATGAAACGGGAAGTTTGAGCAAGCAGGGTAGGCAGGTATGGCTGGAAGTTAGACCAGAAAAGACCTTCCTCTTTTCCTGCTTATGACTGTAGCCGAAAGGGTTGTTTTTATTCAATTCTTTTGTGACAGTTTAAAGGAGCAGAATACTTTAGTGGTTAAAATAGTTAATCTCTTCCCAGTTACCAGTATGTCGCAAACCTTTGGTGTTACGGACCAATGACCTGCAAATTGTTCATGATTGGCACCTGTCAGAGCCCCCACCACCCCGCCCCTTCCAGCCCCCTGTTCATCTGCCTTCCTCAGCTGAGCGTGTCTCAGACTTGAGCTTGACAAACTCCTTGGCCACCTCGTCACCAGCGCGCTGGGACAGAATGCGCAGGATGGTCTGGCCCGTGTCATCGAGGTGTACCCTGCAGCCGAGGGGACACCAGCAGGCACAGCTGCCCCGCTCGACCACGTCACGCAGCTGGAGCACGGAGATTCCCAGCACGCGGTCCGCCCGGCCGAAGCAGTAATCCTTCACGCACACCTGCAGTTCATAGCACTGGGGCCCATCCTCATTCCCCAGGATGCTGCAATAAGCAATCAGAGAATCGATTGCTCAACCAATCAATTAATATCTTAGCCCAACCAAATCATTTACCAGTTGGCAAACAAAATGACATTAGCAAATCACTGATAGTTACTTCATAGTACTGTACTGGCTACCTGCATTGATTGTTGTAGGCTATTCAGTTATTTATAGACAAGTGAGTGCAATACATATACTTATTACACGGCTCTCTGGAATGCTTGATTCTGATTGGTCAGTTGAGACATTTGCAGGTTCGTTCTTTTCAAATAATAAAAGAACCCTTATTATCCCTTACATATACATATACATATAGCAACCCGATCTCACGAATTTTCGTGCAGCCATCACGACATAAAATCTATTTAAACGTGCTGTGATCACGTTTTCGGCTTTTTTTACGTGCTGGGGCAACGTTTCCCCTCCCTATGTGTTTTAATGGGCAGTGCCTAACACCGCCACTATGAGCGCTAACTGGTGACTAAGGGACGGGACAGTCATGCATCCCCAAAATCACATTTTGTTTTTTGTGATCTGATAACGCTTTCGATAACGTGTGACGCGACCTTGCAAAACAGCGCTTGGATTTTACTTCTGTTGCATGAATGAGTTAGTGTATGGAGGGAAATCCCGGACATTATTCAAATGCAATTGCAAATTTTGCATTACCGTTTGCTTTTTCGCTTTCGCGAACGAACACTGACTGCCACATTTCAAATGAAAAAGCAAAGTCCATTTGCAATTGCATTTCCCATGTCTTACAAGGAACATCCTGGACATTTTTCAAAAGGAATTGCGAATGCAAAATTTGCAATTGCATTTGAATAATGTCCGGGATTTCCCTTCATACACTAACTCATTCATGCAACAGAAGTAAAATCCAAGCGCTGTTCCGAAAACGTGATCACGGCACGTTTAAATAGATTTTATGTCATGATGGCTGCACGAAAATTCGTGAGATCGGGTTGCATATACATATACATTATATGGACAAAAGTATTGGGAGATCTTTACACCTACAGGAACTTTTATGACATCCCATTCTAAATCCAGAGGCATCAATATTGAGTTGGTCCCCCCTCGGCAACTATAACAGTTGCCACTCTTCTGGGAAGGGTTCCACACAATTCATGGTTGCAGGGGGTCCAGAGCCTATCCATACCATTCACTCACACTTGTATACCTACAGGCAATTTGGTAACTCCAATTAACCTCAGCACGTTTTTGGACTGCAGGGGGGAACCAGAGTACCTGGAGGAAACCCCACGATAACTCGGGGAGAACATGCAAACTCCACACACATGGAATCATGGCAGAGACTCAAACCCAGGTCCCAGAGGTGTGAGGCAACAGTGCTAACCACTGCACCACCGTGCTGTAAAGATGCATTCACAGAAAATGAATACTTATGATACTTATTTATGTTACAGTAGCAGCTACTAAATTTTGCTGTACAATGATTTTGCAGACTGGTCAGAGACACTACAGATATTTCTTGGCAGAATCTCTTTAGGAAAGATTGTGGAGGTAAAATGAAAAATAGAATGTGGGGATAGTGCAGATGTATAACTATAGAAGACAGGCAGGCTTTGGGTTAACAGAGCTTATAAGAATACCACAAAAAATGAATGCATGTACTCACAAGTGGAAAGTCTCATTGAACTTTGGTGCCCAGCTGTTGTTCTTAGACTTGGTGGTGAACTTGCGTTTTTTGTCACTGAGGTGGGGCCCGATCATAGTAACCTCGACAAACGGCCGGAACATTCCTGACGTCTGCCACTTTAGGTCATTTGCTGCAACAACTGTAGACAATGAACAGTTTCAGTATTCTGTAACTGTGCAAATATCCCTCACTCTGGGAGAGTTTCTGTCAGAGTCTGGTGTCATATTCTGTAAAATCAACTAATACGTGAAATAAGACATCTTGACATTTCTGTGCATCTTTACGATATTCTGGGAAAAGTTAAGTCACCTGCACCCATTTTCCCAGAATACTGCTTCTGTTTATTCCCCAGACTCCAATACCAGAAAACCACAAGACAAGACCTTTATCGCACCCTCTGGAATCCTCCTATTTATATAACTCTCTTTCTTCCCTCACACAGAACCAGCTGCTGTCTGTTCTCATTTATATCCACCCTTTTTGTGGAGCTGTTGCCCCAAAGCTCCTTCCTCTTACTTAATCCTTGCTAATTAAAGCACTTCCTTGTCACCGATGAGTGAAAGACACTTTCAGTTTCCAAATGTAGCTCAGGCCCTGAAGCCCAGGCTTCTGCTTGGTTCTGAGCTCACCTTTCACTGTGACCTTGTGCTCCCCGGTGCCAGGATGCGTGAAGAGATCCACCTGTATGGACACCTCCCCCACAGCCTTGTCCACACCTGAGCCTTTGCAAACACAAAGATGCAGGACAAGAATTCACTGTCTACACTATTTTGGGCACAGTGTTTTCCAACATCATTCCACCTTGGGTCCTGTATTGAAGATCAACTACTTTGACATTCATGCACATACAGGAAACCTTTTATGAAAATATTTGCAAGTGCATGAGCGGCTTATAACCATACTTCACGTAAAACCATATGTATCACAGTAAAATACAAATTGCAGTACACTGATCTAGGAAACGTGTGACATCACAGGATTATCACTGATCGTGACTGGCTGTGGAATCCAGCAGAATAGGGGCTCTCACTAACATGAAGCTCCCCACCTACCCTTGTTTGGCAGAACTTTTTCATTTGCAGTAAATCTTATACCCTTCCCGTTATGCACTGGCGGAAGATGCAAAAGCAGCAGGAAAAGACAGAGAAAGACGAAGATGAAACAGAGGACAAAGTAACAGGGGGACAAGGGAGATTATCTACAGAGCTTCTACCACTCAGACACAGTACAGTGTTGGATATCCATGGACGAGATTCTGAGTGCAATAAAGACCTTTGTTAAAGGTTTCCTCTAGGAGGAGTAATCCCGTGACAAAGTAGGATAAAATTCAGAAGCATTTTCTGATGTATAAGCAAGACAAAGACGAGTGATTTTGGTACCCTGATTGTGCTGCGTGGTAACAAATGTCCGGATGAGAGCGTCTGTGGTCTGGGTGTATAGCGAGAGAGCGTAGCGCAGGGATGACAGTTCTGGGCTCTTCTCCAAGAAGGCCTTTTTCAGGCCATTTCCTCCAGCATGGAAATATTGCTGCAGCGTCAAAAACAGATGAATGGATAAGGAGTGGATTACCACAATTTTCAGGTACCACCTACATTAAACAGTCATAAGAAAATGAATCTAGCTACTCCTGCTTCGTACTTCACATGCTTTACTTATACATCCTTGATATACAGTTTATGTGCCTTTGCATGTTACTACAGACCATACCAAGCTATCTTTGCTAAATGATTCGAAATAAAACAAACCATACTAATAATAAAGCTGCCTGCCCTTATAATAATACAGTATCGTAGGACTTGTCACCCCTAGACTTTCCTCTAAATGTCTCACCTTTATTGTGTCCAGGGCCGTGTCCATGACTGCACACTGCTTAGGTGTGAGGCTTTTTGCCTCTCCTGATACCATGTGATCCTGAACACCAATCAGAAAAGGGCGTCAACAGGGTGGGGTGACTATCTTCCTGCTCAGACTACGAGGCAGACCGTTAGTCCCACATTCTACAATGTCCACAAAGACGCCATAATCCTGGAATTTTTTTTGCAGCATTTTGTATTAAGCCAATTTAAACCCAGCGAATCGTATCATCATTACAAATATAGCAAGTCAATGCAGCACTGAGTTTTGCAGACCAGCCATCTTTTCAAGATTAGTTGACATTTAAGCATTGATGTGTTGTGTCATCTTAAACAATACTAAGCTCCACTGGTAGCAGGATACCTCCAGCCGTATGAAGGGGGAGCGATGGCATATGTGACGATACCTTGAGCTTGGAGAGCTGGCCCAGCTCCTTGGCGGCAGAAAGAAGCATCTGGGCTCCCTGTAAACCCAAGTGAGACACAAGAGGACAGGCTTGTAGGAGAGGGGTAAACAAGACGGTATCGCACACAACCTGTCACAATACAAAACAGGCTGCATCCATTCATACGTCTGGTCAGTCAGTTAAATAATTTCCCCTCAGTTGTGAACCTTTTAATCTGAATGATTGACTTTTGGCGTGCATTTGAATATTTCAGCTACTCGTACATGATCGGTCTTCAGGGAGTTCAGTAATTTCTTACAGTATGATATCTATGCTGCAATATGAAGGAAATTATTGTTATATTATTGACAACAGCAACCCAACTGGACTAATTACACCAGTAAAGTGTGTTGGAGCTCAATACAGCATACATATGACACACCCACAAACTGGCCTAACATCCACAGAACATTATTTTTCTATATGTATATTTAACCACTAGAGGGCGCCCACTGATAAGAAAAGCTATACAGCTCTTACTACAAAATTAACAAAATCCACCAGACATCTCCAGTATAGGTGCAAGGGGAATGAAGGACTTACTGTGGTGTCACTGCCCTGGGGCAGGACGATGGTCTTCTCCAGGCTGTTCATCACAATCCTCCATAGATCCTTCAGTACACGCTTCAGAACAGTTTTTTCACACACTGTTGCAAAGAGCATCAGGCTGGACACACAGAAAAAGTTAGCACTCATCTCAGATACATAGGCAAAATAAAGAAACATTAAAAGCCTGCTTCTAATAAATGCTAGAGAATAAAACAAGTGGGTAAAAAAGGTTAACATGACAAAAATTTACAGATAACAATTGTGAAAAACTGGTAGAAAATATATGTATTAATTATGATAGCAAAACAATACCAAAACCTCTAAGATGGACATCTAATTCCAAATCACAACTCACTTTCCATCTAGGAAGTCCATGAGAGGTCGTAATACATTATCAGAGTCAGCCTCAACGGTGTTGCGGCTGTTGGAGTTGACAGGACCTTTGATCTGATACAAGAGGTCAGCCATCTGCCTCAGGCAGTCATCAATTCTGCTCTGGAAACTGGGATCAAAGGACAACACATGGTTTACCCTCCAGAGCAGAGTCACACAAAGAGTGCACAGTTTCACACTCATTACTATACTACTTCTAAATTAGAGAGCAAAAATATAATTAGAATAATTTGGATATTATACAACCAGTTTAAGCGTGTGTCTGTTTTTTAATCACATTAAAGAAGATACATCAGTAAGACTGCAAACAGAAATTCTTACCTGTTTCCAAACATCGCACTCAGCTCATCCAGCACATTATTTAACTTCACCTGCAGCTCATTCAGGAGGTCACTGGCCTCAGGGTCCATCTGTTGCCAGGCAGAAGACATAGAAAATGTGCTGGTAAGAGAGGCGCTCACTGGCACAGAGCCATATTACACTAAATCACATTTCCTTGTTGGTGTAATGCATTCAATGACCTTGGATACAGACCAACAGGACTAAAACTCCCCTTGGATACAGACCAACAGGACTAAAATTCCCCTTGGATACAGACCAACAGGACTAAAACTCCCCTTGGATACAGACCAACAGGACTAAAATTCCCCTTGGATACAGACCAACAGGACTAAAACTCCCCTTGGATACAGACCAACAGGACTAAAATTCCCCTTCGATATAGACAAACAGAACTAAAACTCCTCTATGATATAAACCAACAGAACTAAAACTCCCCTTGGATACAGAGCAGCAGCAGGTCACCCCTGGAGGCTGAAAACAGACACAGCAGACGCTGCATATCCTAGTAGTGGAGCCAGCAGGTCTAATATGATTTCAGGTGGATTTTGGTGATCAAAACTGCTCTGCTTTATTTAACAACAGACATCATGTTATAGGTAGTGTACAATCTATAAAAGGCCCACGTGAATTTTTATGAGGGAATTACCATATGAATCAGTATCTGCCCCTTTATCAGTCACTTGATCAAGCACAATGTTCAGTAATAAAATGATGAAAGCGGTCTTTGCACTCCATCTGCAAAGGTGTGCATGGATTCTAAGCACCAGTTAGTGTAACAGTCCTCTTTGATCTCCAGCCCTCATGTTTTTGATGATACCTTCCCCTCATAGCACAATTTTCACCGCTACACGCAGGTGGGAAGCATGAGACAATTACTCTGAGGGGAAGGATACTGGAACACCAGCGTTCTTATGTATACCCATAATCTTTGTGCCTATTACTAAATACAAGATGTCCGGGAAATTATTTAGATTTCATTTAAAATTATATTGCAAGAAAAACATGCTGTATTGATGTTTTGGTATTTTTCCACATAAAAAATTACCCATATATATATATATATATATATACATACACACACACACACACACACACACAATGCTCAAAAATTAAAGGAACACTCTTTAATCAGAGTATAGCATCAAGTCAAACTTCTGGGATATGGACGTGGTCAGTTAAGTAGCAGAGGGGGTTGTTAATGAGTTTCAGCTGCTTTTGTGTTAATGAAATTAACAACAGGTGCACTAGAGGGGCAACAATGAGACGACCCCCAAAACAGGAATGGTTTAACAGGGGGAGGCCACTGATATTTTCCCTCCTCATCTTTTCTAACAGTTTTTTCACTAGTTTTGCATTTGGCTACAGTCAGTGTCACTACTGGTATCATGAGGTGATACCTGGACCCTACAGAGGTTGCACAGGTAGTCTGACTCCTCCAGGATGGCGCATCAATACATGCCAATTGCCAGAAGGTTTGCTGTGTCTCCCAGCACAGTCTCAAGGGCATGGAGGTGATTCCAGGAGACAGGCAGTTACTCTAGGAGAGCTGGACAGGGCTGTAGAAGGTCCTTAACCCATCAGCAGGACCAGTATCTGCTCCTTTGTACAAGGAGGAACAGGAGGAGCACTGCCAGAGCCCTACAAAATGACCTCCAGCAGGCCAGTGGTGCGAATATCTCTGACCAAACAATCAGAAGCAGACTTGATGAGGGTGGCTAGAGGGCCCGACGTCCTCAAGTGAGCCCTGTGCTCACTGCGCGGCACTGTGGACCTCGATTGGCATTTGCTGTAGAATACCAGAACTGGCAGATCCGCCACTGGCACCCTGTGCTTTTCACAGATGAGAGCAGGTTCACGCTGAGCACATGTGACAGATGTGAAAGGGTCTGAGAAGTCGTGGAGAACATTATGCTGCCTGTAACATTGTTCAGCATGACCGGTTTGGTGGGGGGTCAGTGATGGTCAGGGGAGGCATATCCATGGAGGGACACACAGACCCCTACAGGCTAGACAGCAGCACCATTAGGTATCGGGATGAAATCCTTGGACCCATTGTCAGACCCTACGCTGGTGCAGTGGGTCCTGGGTTCCTCCTGGTGCACGACAATGCCCAGCCTCATGTGGCGAGAGTATGCAGGCAGTTCCTGTAGGATGAAGGAACTAATAACATTGACTGGCCCCCATGCTCGCCTGACCTAAATCCAACAGAACACCTCTGGGACCTTCTGTTTCAGTCCATCCGACGGCGCCAGGTTGCACCTCAGACTGTCCAGGAGCTCAGTGATGCCCTGGTCCAGATCTGGGAGGAGATCCCCCAGGACACCATCCATCATCTCATTAGGAGCAGCCCTGACATTGTCAGGCATGCATACAAGCACGTGGGGGGCATACAAACTACGGAGTACGATTTTGAGTTGCTGCAATGAAATTTCGGCAAAATGGACTAGCCTGCCGCATCATTTTTTCACTTTGATTTTTGGGATGTCTTTGAATTCAGCCCTTTGTAGGTTGATAATTTTCATTTCCATCAAACAATGTGGCATCCTTTCATTCCTAACACATTACCTAGTCCATATCAGTATAGATATCCAGCATGATTTTTTTCCCATTGAGATCTGATGTGTTTTCAAAGTGTTCCTTTAATTTTTTGGAGCAGTGTATATATATAGGACCATGAGGACCATTGCATCTGACCTATTGGGATTTATTAATACCAGAAAGCAAACTGAAGGTTTTCTCTGAATAACACACTCAAACACTAATAGAGGACCTTTAGAATGCACAGAATAGGGCAAACAGAACACACATTCATACAGTCGTACCCATACAGGAAAGAGCCCGGGAGGGCAAATTAAAAATTGAGTTAACTGAATATTTCATGCCAACATTATCTACAAAAATTCCAGGTAACTTGTTAGATTTCTAGTTTTATATGCCGAAGTGAAAAGATATTTTATAAACTAGCCAAACAGAATAAGAACTAGGAAAGATCAGAGGGATAACAATGTTTTGCTGGCAGTGACGTGTGCAGACCTTTGAGGGAAAGGGGCTCGAACAGGGGGAAATTGCCAACTGATACTTCTTACAGGAAGGATGGGCCCCCTCAGTAATTTTTTGTGCACGTGCTTGTTCCCCCTTCCCCCGTCTAATCCTTACTCCTCCCACACCTCACAACCTCTACAATTTCTAGAATTACTGGGTGGATCAACTAAAAATATGACAACCACCGGTGTTTGTTTTACACAAATGCTCTGACTCTTAGTTGTCACACATAACTCTGAAATTACTTCTATTCATTGATTGCATATTCCACTTACATTTGCACAAACTTTCCCCACCAATTAGGAGGTTAACTATTTTGTGCCTACAGGAAACACAGCTGCAAAGCCAGAAGCAGGCATGCAGTTTGCAAATACTAAGGGATTTACAATAGCAAATGTATTCACTCATATCTTTGTAAAAATGCACGTCTCCCATTTCAACTTGGTCTTATTCTGCTAGACCTGCCACTTGACCAAACAAAGTTTCAACCACTTCTAATTCCTAATACTCTGAATGATGATAACTAATACAACATACCTCTCCATCATTGAATTCAGGTGTTTCATTCAGACCCATTGCCACAGGTTTATAACATCAAGAACGTTGCCATGCAGTCAGGTTTACAAACACTTCTGCAAGACTGGGTCCTTCTGAACAGTTCAGTGAATTCAAGTGTGACACTCTCCTAGGATGCCACCTTTGCAAAAGCTCTTCCCTGCCAGATATTCCACTGTCAAGCTGTAAGTGGTATTATTGCAAAGTGGGAGCATTTAGGAACGACAGAAACTCAACCACGAAGTGTCAAACCACGTGAAGTAATAAAGCGGAGTCGCCAAGTGCTGAGTGTGTAAAAGCCGCCAACGTTCGGTTGACTCGGTAACTGCAGAGCTTTGGGCAAAAATTCCCACAGACACATTCCAAAATCTTGTGGAAAGTAATGGCGGCAAACTCACCATAATGGGGGACCAACTCCATATTGATGCCTATGGATTTAGAATGGAGTGTCATTAAAGTTCCTGTAGGTGTAATGGTCAGGTCCCATATCTTTATTATAATACATAATGTCTCCCACTGCAAACTAACTCTCCTGTACCTTTTAATGGGAAGAAACTAAGCTTTGTGGTAATTTAGCTATTATTTACTTATTTGTGTACCAGATGAGACATTATGAACTAGCATTTTTTTACTGAGTAGGACTATACAGCTTTACAAGACAATATACTGCTGCACAAAGACACACACGAGAGCCAGAACATCATTGTAGCAGGAATCATCTATAGTTCCCTCTGCTGTCAGTATTTTCACTCTCATCATGTCCCCTAAGTACTGATATTGGGGGGGATGCGTCCCCCCATCTCCAGTGTGGGAGAGAAGTTCCAGTAAGCCTGGGGAGAGATGCATGATGGGATTGTTGTCAATGTCTTAGGCAAGAAGAATGTGTGTGTGTGTGTGTGTGTGTGTGAGCGGGTTTACCTATCCTTATGGGGACATAATGTCCCCATAACGTGATAAATATCCGTTTGTTTTTTCCTTATGGGGACCGGTTTCCTGGTCCCCATAAGGGAAAACTCTATTTTATAAAAATCGGTGACTGCTATGAAAAAACTAAAAATGCAAAAACTCTTGTATTTTGTTATGTTACTTATAGTTAAAGTTGGGGCAGGGTGGGGGTTAAGGTTGTCATAGTTAGCGTTAGCATTTCTCCCATTGAAATGAATGAGCGGTCCCCATAAGGATATGTATACCCTACAAGTATGTGCGTGTGTGTGTGTGTGTGTGTGTGTGCAGTCAGGAACATCTGATGGGAACAGGCTTATGTTCTTATGTGTTTGCTACATTTATCTGTGTTAAAAATCATGTGACCTAATGAGTGCTAATGAAATGTGTTATAATGAATTAAGCAAATGGACGAAATTTATGAGATAAGGGTAATTTGATTTACTTAATTTCATGGTATTGATTAACACAAGGATATGTAAGGGGCTAGCGGGGGTGGGATGGGCTAGCGGGGGTAGGATGGGCTAGC